TTTATTAGAAGGTTGAACACATTTATTTTGATAATTTTAAATTCAACATTCTAAGAAAAAAAATGTATTTTACTTTTCTTGACTTATAATTTGATTGAATGTGTGTATATGTATATATACAAACAAAATTTAGTGTGTGTTTTTTTTCTTTTAATTCGAGGTAACATGTTATTTGACGATCTGATATATTATTCAATTATTATTATTATTGTTATATGAATATTTTTATTGAGAAATATTAGTCACTAATATGATATTTTTGTTAGGGAAACTCGAGGTCACAATTTATTTCCGTTTTTTTCTTCCATCTTTTTACCACCACAACCGAGATTACATTCTTACACAATCTAAAATGTTAAAAGTATATTTTTATAGCATGGATAAAATAGTAAAAATTTAAAATCAATTTTCTAAATAATTAATACAATTTAATTTGGATCTATGAGACAACAAAGTTATTTGTGATAAATCTGCTCACATTCTGATATTTTTTAGAAGATAGTCATTCCGCTGTAATAGAAAAAGAGATTTTATATATATTACAAATATATTGAGTAGGAGTGGGTCCGCACATGACAAATTTTATAGCCGACATCTCTCAAGTCTTTTGACAATCACCACCCACGTCATGGGTGCCATCACAAATTTCATTTGCCAACGTTTTGCTCGTGTCAACTGTTTTAAAAGTTGAAATATGAATAGTTTATTTTTCACAACTTGTAATGTCAATGCTTAACAGCACGACCTCATCAATACAATAAATTTTCATCAACAAAACATTAAATTGTTTTCAATTCAGGATTTTTATTTTTCTCAATTAAAATTTTATGAAATTAAGTGACACCTGTTTTATATTATACTTGTTCGAACCGTTACTAAATGAATTTTTTACTATAATATTATTACGAAGATTTTTGTAAAAAAAAAACAAATATTAGATAGCAATAAATTGTAAACAAGAAACTAAAATACTACTTTTAACTTAAAATATTAAAACAATAGTTTTATGATCCTTTTATTTATATACTAGTTATTTTTCTCAAATTTATTTAATACGAGATTTCTAACTCATTTTAAACTCTTAAAAGTTTAAACCTAAAAAACTTACTCTAGATATAGTATAAAACTAATATTTTTATATAAATTTTTGTTTTTAAGTAATCTAATAATTGAAATCAAAGAATAATTTCTAATTATGACAAAATAAAAATGACGATGAGGTGCCTGTTTGAAAAATACCTTTAAGAGTAATTTGATTATATGTATAATCCAAATTTTAGCTTTACAACATTCGTTCCATATGATTAAATTTAGTGGTGTCAATTCTATTTAATGAAAACTTAAATTACCGATATGTATTAATCTATACTTTTGATAACTAGATATAACTTTTAATATTAAGTATACTTACATTTTACGTCGTATATCCAGATTAAAATTACGGTTTATAGTTATGGGATAAATGGAGTATTAATTTCATACTAAATTAAAAATAAGATGAAGCTGTTAGATTTTTTTCAATCAGCAAAGTTGAAAATCAGTTTCATAATAATGCTGACACAACCTGAAGACGAAAATTTAGGGAGGGACAATAGATAAAAAGTCATTAAAATAATATTATTTTACTAATCATTATATCTCATTTTTAAGTTAACCACTTGGTTAATTGGGATAAATTGATCCTTTTTTTTACAACAAAACATATTGTATCTGGTGTTAGTTTAAGTTTTTCGTTACGATTTTTTAAAGGTTCACATAGTGTTTTCTAAATTTTAAAAGACTAAAAAGGTTTTAATTTGACGATTTTTAAAAAATAAAGTAATTTATATATATTTTTCAAACCAAATAACCTATATTATTACTCCTTTTTTTTTCTTTCTTGCTTCTGAACACATTGGTATCTCTCTTTTCTTATTTTTCATTCAACATTGACTACATATACTATTTTTTTCTTCCTATTTATTTTCTGTCTCTTTTTCTTCATTTAACCATAATCTATTTCATTTTGAAAGACACATTGGATTTGGAACTAATTTCTGACAACAAACAGTTAAATACATATAATTTAGGTACAAAAGCATGTTGAATTCGTCTAAATTGTACAAGAGTAGAATCTAAGTAACTTAATTTTTAAAATTATAATTTGAACTCAATCTAATCATCTGGCTTAAATAAATGTTATAAATTGATCCAAACAAAGATGTCATGAGTATTTTATCATTTCCAGTAAATTTAAAATATTACCTTATGTATTACATACGATTTGATATTTCTCAATAATACTTCTATAGGATCCATCTCTAATTGAATATATGTGAAACTATTATGTATTTTGTCTACCTCTATTTGACCAGCACAACATAATATTAAACAATTAATTATATTGATTTAATGACTTTGATAATTTAGAAGTTAACAAGTATATGGATTAATGTGTTCAGATCCATATTTGTAAAAGTTCAAAGTAAATATAAATAATATATTTTATATTTATTAAATACTATATTTATTGTTCACCCACTAAATTGATTAAGACGTTACTGCATGGACAACTCCTATCTATCTAGTTAAATGAGAGTATTAAAAAAGGATAAATATTCTAAAAATTGAAGTTTATAAGTATTTGAAACTTTTTACACACTCCTTTCCATAATATCATTGTATCTTTAGCAATTTAAAATAAAAATAATTATAATCACATTCACAAACAATAAGAAAAAGATGCAATTTACCATAATCTTAAAATGAGAAAAAGGAAGAGAGAATGCACTAAGTCAAAGGTAAGAAAACTGGATCAACGGAAGAGAAGAAAATAACAGTAACACACATGAGAAACGACGCCGACGGCTATTTCCATGTCACCGAACAGTGAATAATTTATAGAAAACAAAATTATTGCATATTAATAATTACACCCATAGGTAAAATGCAAAATGGTAAGTAACCTTTCATATTTATAAAAAATAAACGATAAAGAAAAATAATATCAAATTGATATAAAAACTTTTTGATGTGAAAGTATCTTTGTCTTAATTTTTATTAATTCAAACAATAAAGTTTTCATTTTTTTCTTTTTATTCTATTATAACTTACGCTTTACACGTGTTCTGTGGCGGAACAAACACTTTTATTTGGTCGGCCAGCCAGCAGCCAGATCGACACTATAGAATAAATAATATACGTTATTGTACTTAAATTAATAGGTCAATGATTCACCATGTAGCATAAATTTTGACCGATATATATAACAATTTTCTACAGATTTTATTTATCTAATGGACATTTATTTTACAAACATACATAGACAATTTAAAAATAATTTAATCAAACCGACCCATCCTAACTATTAAATATAATAATAATGAGTTGATGGCCACTATGAAACGATCCAAGGTGGATGACTTGATGTATGTAGCACTGCATTTTATTCATTCTTAAAATAATTTACATTTTTTACTTAAAAAATGTATTATTTCATTTGAAGATGTGTAAGATATTACAAACTTTCTTTTGACCACGTATTTTTAAGCAATGGGAATAATGTTAATACACATCTCAACAATTATGTATAAAACTTTAAAATTAATTTGATCAATATACAATGTAGTGAACTTAAAAATAATAATTGTACTGTACGGTCCTTTGTACGGTCCTTCCTACTCCATGTGCCTTCCTATCCTATGTGTCGAACGGTTGTTAGGCCCACCACATAGTCCAGAAAGAACGACTATTCCTAGATCGAACAGTTTCTCTTAGATCGTCACCAGGCCTACAACCCTGGTCGACTACATGGTCCAGACCGAACGGTTATTCCTAAACTGAACGGTTCCTCTTAGGCCGTCACCAGACCTACAACCCTGGCCGACCACATGGTTCAGACCAAACGGTTATTCCTAGGCCGAACGGTTCCTCTTAGGCCGCCACCAGGCCAACAACCCTGGCCGATCAGGCCGACCACCCATACTGATCGACCGTCTCGGCCGACCAACCACTAGGCCGACCACATGGTTAAATTATAAACAATAATAGTTCATTAAAGCCCCTAATAAAGATTAAGGCGTGATTGGACCATCATCAGACCTACAAAAGGTAAAAACTCATTACAACTAGTATAAATAAAGGTCACAGGTATGATTTCTGGAGAAGTTGCATAATACATGCTCTACTTGCTATAATAACTGCTCGGTCATTTTACTGATTTGAACGTCGGAGTATCTTTGACAGATGCCCGTCCGCCGGCTTGGAAAACAAGGAGGGAGAACAAGGAGGGAGAACAAATACTACATCTGGGATACGAAGAAGAGGAGAGAGCCCGTCGGGTCTTCCACAGCTTGGAGCGCCTGAAGTATTTATGTGGCACGTCCAGTCTTCAACTTCCGTTCGGTCATCAAAGTCTGTCCTATATTCAGCACAACGTGGAGTATTTTAAGCGTAGGACGTTCCCAAACCTTATACCCGAAATAATAATAAACCTGTGTAATTAAAATTATGAAAATAAAATGCAGTCAACCTTAAATCAAATAAACCTGCGTGACTGTGTCTATCGGGTTTGCCCTACAAATTACGTTTGGGGTGGGAGGAATTCAGCTTGAACTCTAGGTTAATGTATCTGAAAATTTGTTACTTTTGAAAGTCAACAGGATGCGTAAAATTAATTTTAAGGAAAATTTATAATTAAATAAAATTATTAGTAAAAATGTTATTATAAAAAAGAAACGGTAAGATTGGTGTGGTGTGAGGATAAGGATGAAAAAAAGCAAGTTGATGATAATGACTGGTGAAGCTGGCAAGTAGCTAATTCGCCATGTGCATTAAATGGTTCACTCGTATTTTCTGCTCATGTTTTTGTCTCTTGTCCGTGTTGAAGACTGGATAAAGTGAATCTCAAAGGTTTCATCTTTGGAATAGTCATAGCACGCTCTTTCTCTCTCTTCAACGGAGGCTCTACTTTTTTGCGTGTTTTTGACCTTCTCACATTTCACACTCCCACTTTGTATATATACCAACAACTCCCCTCTCATTTCTCAACTCCAAAACTTTCAAACGCTCAAAAACCATTCACAGATCAAAGCCTTCTTCATCTTCTTCTTCGATTGCTTTTCCCATCTAATCAAGGTTAAGCTCTATAGTTCTTCTACAAGATCGCCATGGACAACGAGATCGATGTTCCTTCGTTCTTCGTCTGCCCCATTTCCTTAGAAATCATGAAGGATCCGGTGACGGTCTCAACGGGCATCACCTACGACCGTGAAAGCATCGAAACGTGGCTGTTTTCCAAGAAAAATACCACATGCCCCGTCACCAAACAACCCTTGATGGATTACACCGATCTCACCCCTAACCACACTCTTCGGAGACTCATCCAAGCCTGGTGTACCATGAACGCTTCTCACGGCATCGAAAGGATCCCAACTCCAAAACCTCCCGTTAACAGGACACAGATTACCAAGCTTCTCAAAGACGCTTCTCACTCCCCTCTCGTATGCCTACGAAGACTCAAATCCATCGCTTCAGGAAGCGAGACAAATAAGCGATGCATGGAGGCTGCGGGTGCTGTTGAGTTCCTCGCATCCATTGTAATGAACAACAACAGCAACAGCAACGATTCTTCAAATGGGGCTGACCCAAATGATGGATCTGGATTCGAGTTGAAAACAACTGCAAGCGATGAAGCATTGAGCCTGCTTCACACGCTTGATTTAACTGAACAAGGGTTGAAGACTCTTCTTGGCTTCAGAAACGGAGATTTTATTGACTCTTTGACGAGAGTCATGCAGAAAGGGTTCTTTGAATCACGCGCTTATGCAGTTTTCTTGTTGAAATCTATGTCTGAAGTGGCTGATCCAGTGCAACTGTTGCATCTAAGACAAGAAATTTTCGTGGAACTAGTACAAGTCTTGAGGGATCAGATTTCAACGAAGACATCAAAGGATATCCTTCAAACCTTAATCCAATTCTCTCCTTGGGGGAGGAACAGGGTCAAGGCTGTGGAAGCAGGAGCAGTGCCTGTTTTGATAGAGCTTCTTCTGGATTGCAAGGATAGAAAGCCTTGCGAGATGATGCTGGTGCTGTTGGAGATACTATGCCAGTGTGCGGAGGGAAGAGCAGAACTATTGAGTCATGGAGCAGGTCTTGCCATTGTTTCAAAGAAGATTCTAAGAGTTTCGACATTGGCGAATGATAGGGCTGTTAGGATTCTTCTTTCTGTCTCCAAGTTCTCTGCGACTCCACACGTTGTTCAAGAGATGCTGAAACTGGGTGTGGCAGCGAAACTGTGCTTGGTGCTTCAGGTGGATAGCGGAAACAAGGCCAAGGAAAAGGCAAGAGAGATACTCAAGTTGCATGCTCGGGCGTGGAAGAATACTCCATGCATACCCAACAATTTGCTTTCTTCATACCCGGCTTATGCGTGAAACCATTGATAGAGAATTTTGAAACATATATACCTCTTTTACAATTTTTTATGTACAGACACAACACAGTTAGGTTCAAGTTATACATATTAGCATACTGATTGCCCGCAAAAACTATGGGTGGATAGCCATTTAGGTTTTCCTTTGTGTTTCCTCACAATTGTGCAATGAATTTTTGTTTTAGCTACACTGACACAGAAAGGGTTAATCATTCATAACGATTTTGTTCCAGATTTTTGAGTTCATCTCTCTCTCTCTCTCTCTCTCTCTCTCTCTCTCTCTCTCCTCTGTTCACTCGTCAGAGCAATCACTTGACACTTGTTCAGCCTTCACCATGTCCTTTCTAACACCCCCTCTCATTTACTGCTTTTTACTACTTTGCCATTTTCCTCTCTTTCTCTTCTTCTATTGTCCTCGT